AAATCAAGAGTGGGTGATGTTTTGTGCATGCCTGGCGAGTTTGTTTTGATATCGCCCATAAATTTTGGACATCAAAGATGAGGTTCAACTCTTTTAATTTCTAAATATCCATGTCTTAAAATCTCACAAAGAGAGCAAGGAGACCCAGGTGGTCGAAGTTTTAGGAGTCCTTCACTATGGCATCTCTCATAATTACAGGGGAGATTTGGGACGCTAAACCCCACATATCAGTCAACTGTCATAAAGAGTGTTGCTCTCTAGACAGCTCAAAAGTAAATAGTTAAACAGCTGAGATGCACGTTGTTGTCTTCTTAGGGGTAACGGGCAGCAGCCTTACAGTCATTATTCAGTCAATAACTTTATTAAACGGTCTTGAGGAGTTTAGGCAGCCAGGGTATCCACAAAGGTGACGCCTGAGTCGGGGCGGGACAGTCATAAACTTTTTATTAAGCTTGTCTGTGAAAATGAACGCCAGGTATGATATTTTTTTATGGAGCGAGGACTTGAATCTGCAGTTTCAAAGTGCAGTTTCTTTTGAACTGTTTTCGGTGTTTGGTCACCTCGCGCTAGCAGTGGCGGTCATGGTATAATAAATTGGTATAATGAACTATTTTATCGTCATTCAAACTTATGTTTGATGTGAAAATCAAGAGTCCCTAATATTTACACCTAGGGGTGTAATGTATGAGTACAATATACTATAGTTGGTTTTGTGTTTTGCTTCGCTTTGGATATTCATTCCTTCTAGGGTTGCTCACGAAAAATTACACGCAAGAGAACGCAGGACAAGCGCTGTTGCCCTGTGAGCTCTGTCGTGCGTTCTTTCAATCACCTGCGCTTCAGTCGTACACTTGTTTCGTATTGAATTATACCGCAATAGTAGTATTTTTTCTCCTTATAGATGAAACTTTCGAAGATCACTTCAGTCGGGGACACGGCACGCACTCAGACGTTTCCGGGGGCCACTTGAGGAGCTTCGAACACGGCTTGAGTGATGGCGACTACTCACCTCCGAGGTTTGTTTAGAACTCTCCTGTGGACGAGTGTAATTTTTTGTGTGGGAGTGGTAGTTATTGACAGCCAAAAGTAGTTCATGAGAAAAAACGGTGAATATTTTAGCCCAATTTTTAAAAGTTAAGTATTGTCAACCAATTCTTCTATCGAAAATAGACCACAACTTTTGTGTCTTGTGGTATTGAAGGGGTCATAAAACGTTCCCCAAAAATGTTAAGCTACGTGTATCTTCAGAATTATGGTAGTTCGTTCAATACTATACCTCGACTCGTTTGATCGCCTGTGCTCACTAACATCTAAAAAACGCAATTTTGGTTTCCCAGCTCATGTTTCCGCCAACTGTGCAGGTGACGTCACTTTAAGACAGCCAATGCAGTCTGTCGTCGAGCCTTATTTGACCGTGATTCGTAGCATCATACTGTTTGGTACCGCCGCCACCACCCGACCTTTACGAAATTTCACGTCGTTTATTAGAGCGGAGTCGGCTTTTGGGATTTGAGCCGTATGCCGATGAAACTAAGCGAGTTCGAGATTGGCCATCGTCAGAGCAAGGCACACGCAGCGGCGATCATGAAGCAGAAGCCTGCGACCTGGAAGCACTCGTCTCGAGACTGGGTGGCAGAACCTCCGCTTGCGATAGCCCCGACCATAAGCCTCCACTCTGTGTGCCCATACCATCGGGGACCATCGCGGTTGATAGCTTGAAGCACTGCTTTTCCCCGTGGCTCGCTGGGCAGCTTGTGAGATCGAACGTTGGTTGCACTGTGATAAGTTGTGGTTGCGGTATAGTTTGACGACGCAGAAGTGTACGTAGCGAGGACTAAGCGCTGAATACATGGTGTGATTCGGCATACGATCTGGCATTGGACGCTGCATGCGGCGTACGACGATTTAAGTCAAATGGGGAACACGCCATCAGCGCTCAGGCTCCGCCCACGTACGGCAGCTAAGATTGCACACGCGGAAGATATCGTATGCTCTTTATCGAACACAAAATAAACAGCCTCGCACAGTCATGCTTCATTGTCTAATAACATTGCCAACAAAGTCATGCCTTCGCGAGCGTCAAAATCGCCACAGCCCACATTTATTCTCAACTCCGAGCGTAGGCATAGCAAGGCTGGCGTTCTCTGTGGCGCCGCTTGCTTTCCAACGTGAGTTTATAGTCGAGCGCTTCATTTTAACGCCATAGAGTTAAAGTGCTCGTTTCGCAGAAATGTCCGTGTTCTCATCGACGTCGGTGTCGTTATCGAAGGCGTTGGTTGTGAGCAAAAAATCTCCTTATGCTAACCGAAAAAATGAGAACGATGCAAAAAAATAACATATGATGACATTTTCTGGGGCAGAGTGGGACTGAACCTTAGTTATTTTGGCCCCAGCGGTGATAAACTTGGGTCCTTTGCGCTGCAAGTGAATGTTCTACCACACGGCTACGCTTTCTTTTTTTCTTATTTCTTACTTGGTGTTCAATACAAATGCGACTTACGTATATACGTAGCTTTCAGCATACATAATGTGACATTCGGCAAATACATTCGACAAATGTACAATTCACGTTACAAAGCAAAACCCATAAAACACTACGCCAAAAGGGCTATTCGAGCAGCACACTACATGAACTCAGTATACCAGTCCGGCTAAATTTTATATCCTCAATTGACTACCGCCTTTGGGAAGTTACACAAAACAATAGAACATTGCTTTATTATTTGTAATTACGCGATCCTTTTCTAAGACGTCCTTGCACAGGGTTTGAAAAAACGACTGGATTGAAATTCTTAGTGTCCACTACCTTGTACCACCCAAATGCAATGATAGGCCAATTGACATGCTGTTGTTATTCGGCATGCATGGTTTATTGAAAAATCGCATGTTGTACTGGCATCTGAACCAATGGTGTCTTCGGGATGCCACTTTATACGAATGACTGTGTAGCTAAAAGACTTTCATGACCAACGGCCACGTCTCTGTTTATAAAATCGGTGAAACGAACTTCCTATGCTTTGAATTCAGTGAAGGTAGCTGTCATGCTTAACCAACACACGCATCCTGTATACATGCTTCAATTCAACATGAAATATTGCAGTAATAGCGTGTTACAAGCCTCCATGCCAATGGGCGTCACAATATTTGTTAAGTAGTATAATGGCTTTGTTGTTGAAAGGTGGTACCCCCAGTACAAAAGGCACACACGCTACTGCGCCTATTCCCTGAAGGCACGTAGTATAGCAATTTTGAAAAGATTTCATACACTAAGTGTTTGAAGAACGCACTAGAAACAGCATGTTGCTATTGCATTCAACTCCTCAAAGGCAAGCTTTAGGGTCCCCTAATTTTTGACACCTCAATAAAAACTTGTACACTTATATGATGCTTTACCCGTGCAACTGGTTTTCTTGATGGCCTCAATGCAAAGATCGAAGGTGGGAACAAAGCTGGCCGTTTCACCGAAATGGCCGGTACCACTGTTTAACAGTGAAATTGCCTTGAAACACAGCTCGATATCTTCTTAGTGGTTCAGAAACAAACGTTTTTTTTTTGCAATTAGAGCACACTTCAAGCATCACTTCATTCAATTTTGAGTCTTTTCACGTCAGAAACAGTTTATTCATTTTTATCTATGTCGCCGGCAACAACGATATTCACAAATTCCAGGGTTCCTGGGCTATCTGGGCTATCAGAGCACCGAGCAACAAACTTGGGATGAGCAACCACCAGTGGCACCCCTTCACACACTTCAACGCTGCCATTGGCTGCGGTCGCCAGACCGGTGCTGCGTTAAGGAAGTTGAATGCTCGCTCGGCAGATTAATCATTGTATTTGCACAAAATACAACTCAAACCAAAAAAACATTTCGTTATATTTTTTCCATGGTTTCCTTAAAGTATTCCTTTGGAGCGAAATAATGCTGACACTGTTTTTGTGACTTCTCTTGCTTTGACGATTCACTGACGTGATATATCAGGGCCCACAGCAGCCTATGCTCGCGCATGGTCACAGAGAGCCCCAGAAAACTGCGATTTCTAACGGGCGTCAGTAATTACACAATGAATATTGTGCCAATTATTATTATGGCGAATCTTTATTAACCGAAGAAAACTTGCTACTGAAACTTTTATTTTCGTTTCACCACCCTTTCATTCATCTAGGCCCCCACCCCCCATCAGATATACTGTTCGGGATAGGAAATTTTGTTATAGCCCAAGTGGTAGAGCATTGAGTGTATAATTTGACGGATGTTGCCTTGGATCCTACTGACGTTTCCGGCGACTTTTATGTCTTGAAACTTAAACGAGAGTCAACGCATTGCAGTTTAGAAACCAATTATCCATACGCATTCTTTGGCAAAATTTTCGGTTGGTTGCATTTGTAGCAGGCCTGAAATGTTTTGCGTATCGGAACGTTCTGCGAAGTTCCTGCATAGAATATGTAAATATGCAATCATTGGAAGAATGAACCATAAGCATGTTCGTCAATGAAATGCATCATTGTGCTAGAAGTACTTATTTTGTACTCAGAGTCATCATGATCACCTCACTGTTGCCATAAAAACAACAAATGTAGAAACACAGCACTAAATTCGGAAACTAACCAAGTAAAGAGTGACGAAAAAGCAGATATAACATCAGACAGGAAGAATAAAAAGCAATTCAACAGTAAGCTCTTATCCTCTTTGTTGTATTCCAATAAGTTAAGCCGGAGAATGTGCACAGTTAATGTGCCAATGTAAAAAGAATCCATTACTTAGCAAGCTAGTTGGTGACCAAATTCACAGGAACAGGATGCAGTCAATTGGTATCAGCCTGGTGTAATTATGCATCGCTATGTGGAGATGTTGTCCGGATGGGTACTAATACTCTTGGGCGAACACAGTTGCCGGTAACCACACTTCTCTGCAGCGTCAGAATTGTGGAAAACTGCAGCGCTCGGTATTTACCGAGCGTGGAGAATATGTTTATTAACCAGAATCATATTTCTTCCCTTGCAGAACGCCATCCAAACCTCTTCAGCATAGGCATGACCGCCGACTGCACAGCACACCAGTGGACGTGATGTGCCAGCGTTCAAGGTATGAAATACTGATTTATTTTCGATAACGACTTTCATTGCGTAGTTTCTCGCAAACATATTTCAGGTGAATTTTGGGTGGCGCAGCAGAGCGGTGAATGTTTGTTATGTCCACCTTTCAGACAGAATTGCAATTTAAGCTACTGCTTCAATTCATTTACCTTCAATTTTATTTTTTGAGACCCCAATGAAGGTGTGGTACATAAAGGTGGATAAATATATAAAAAATCAAAGCCCTGTTTTAAAATGCTTTGTGATCTGTTAAAGTAGTCGAAAAAGTTGAAGGACCGCTTATGGCGGTTATGTCATAAGAAAGACCTTGCCAATATGTTGCTGTACGAAAAAAGAATGACGCGGAAAGGTGCCGATGCGGGAACGTGGGCGAGCAGTTTGTTGCAGGTGATCGGTACTAACTGAGATGCGTGTGAGGGGAGAATGTATGGAGGCTTACCGAAGGAGCTGTAAAAGTTTTGTGAAGAAGACATACTAAGAGTGCGGCGACGAGATGCAAGTAAGGATAAACGTGATTCTGTTTTTAGTGCCGATATGCTGACGTTACACGAGTACTTAGAGTAAATAAGCCTTGTAGCTGAATTTCAAGAGACTCAATTTGATTGACGAGATATTGATGACGGGTCCCAAAGGGGACGCATATGCTAATATCGGCTTGATAAGAGACTGATAAGCGACTACTTTTACATCTTAAGGGGCATGGCGCAATTGGGTTATAAAAACACCAGTTCTATTGGTCAACGAAATGATCTTCGTAATGTCTGACGGCCAGGTTAGCACTACAAACGTTTACTCTAATATATTTGTAGGAAGGATCTAGTTCAAACCTAGCGTAAGCGATTCGGTACCAAAAAAAATAGGTGCACTTTACGGCGGTGGAAATTGTCTTGCATTTGTCAGGCTTAGTTCTTTTAGCCTTTGGTTACTCTGTTGTTGAGCACTTCAAATGTCAATTTGAAGAGATGTTCTGGAAACGTTATATGTGGTACAACAAATTACGCAATCGTCTGCAAACTTACGGACATTAGAAGATAAATGCAAAAGTAGGTCATAGTGTAAACTCGGAACATTGGACCAACTACAGACCCTTGAGGAACTCTCGGAGTGAGAAGGGTACCCATAGATATATGATTATTAACAAAGACTTATCCTCAGCGAGTACTTAGGTATTTCAAAATCTATGCTAAGACATCAAAATTTAAATGTAACGCATGAATTTTTAGTAGTAGACTATCACGAGAAATCTTGTCAAAGGCGTTGAAGTAATCTAAAAAATGGCATCGCAATAAGAATTTAGATTGACATGCAGGTCGTAAACAAACATGGCTAGCTGATTTTTGCAAGAAAATTCTTTCTTGAAGCCATGCTGCAATAGTTGAAAAAAAAGCTGGTTAGAATGAAAGTTCATGACATGTGTGTAGATAGCTTCAAGCATTTTACATGACACACTGGTTAACAAGATTGGGCTATAATTTATTGGGGACCATTTTCGCAGTCTTTTATACTGGAACAATTTTTCCATGTTTCTAGTAAAGAGGTAGCATGCCTGTTGAAAGTGAATGCGAAAACAATAAACACAGAGATGCTGCACAGATGTCTTTAGTGTTTTAAGCAATATAGATGTAATCTCTTCCACAGTAGCTAAAGGTGAGTTTTATAATGCCTATTAAGGATCGGATATCGCATAACAAATGCAATTTGTGGCATGGTACGTTGAAAAGTGTCATGGAGAACAGAAAATTAGTTTAGGCTGTGTTGCAGACGTGTGCGCATTCAGCGAACGTTAGGGTATCACCTGACTCGTTTTATAAGGTAACAGAGCGCGTCCCATGAGGCGTAATAAGTTGAAGCGTAATACAGCATGTTTAGTAAATCAGAGTGGAAGAAGCGTTTAGCATGGCGGATGGCTTTCAGATAAGCACTTTCAGCGTCTTTGTACCCATTCCTGTCATCAGGTCTGTGTTACTAGATTGGGCTGCACGTCTAAGACTTTTCGTTTCTAATAGCTTCAGTGCTTTATTGAACCAGGGTTTGGCTGATTTAGAAGCGAGGGTATTTAGGAAAATGTATTTGTGTACCAAATTGTTGTTTTATTTAACTTCAGTAAGCACCAGTTTTCGACGATGGTTTGGGAAGGAAAGTGCTTTCAAAAGTAGAATAAAACTGCCAGAATTCATGGGTAAACGGTTTTACCACAAAGTCGTCTTTAATGAATTTTCGGTTGTTGATTTCGGGAAGATACGTGATGATTGAGACGCCTTCAAGGTAGGTTGTAAAGACAGTCTAGAATATTTTGGCAGTTTCCGGTGACACGAGTTAGTTCTGTGAGCCATATAAATAAGTTAAAATTTAGGCATACCCCAAAAAGACTCGTTCGATTCCTTTGATGTAGCCACTGAAAAGCGCGCGTTTGACCATACAAATCTATATATTGACTAGAATTCTAGGCACTATAAAATTCTCGGCACTATTGATACTAGAAATATCGAAGTCTCCAAACACAGTCGCATGCATATTAGGGCGTTTGGTCAGTATCTCCTTAGGTATGTTGTTCAGCTTGAAACAGTAGTCAGGAGCACTTTTGTGGGAGCCTATAGCAACCTTTCAATAAAATCTAATGAGGTGAGGCATGATATTTAAGCCAGAGGATTTCAAGATGGGATACAAAGTTTACCGATCTACAAGATGAGCTTTGGCTCACGGTGACAAGTACACTTCCAACACTCATGGTCCTGTGATCATATTAAAATAGACTGACAATTACAGTGCAGCAAAGCCGTTTTGGTGACCAAGCTTAAACCTGGACGGAGAGCTTCTTTATTGGCACTGAACGTGAAGTCTTTAACTCAGGTTGCAATGTTTATACAAATTCGCAGATATATGCAAACTCCTGTATAATATTCAAGAAGCTTGCTAATATGATGTTTAATCGCAGTAACTTGTATTGATAACGACATATTGTCCCAAGAAAGAAGACTACACATACTGCTTAAGCTGGTTGTACCGCAACATGGTTCGTGTAGGCACTAGAATCAGTGTTCAAGTGTCTCTTCTCTTGTAGGTAAAACTTCCAAATTTAAAGTGGATGAGTTCCTGAAGCCAGACTAAATGGCTGGACTCGGCTGTAACAGTGCTTCCTCTAGTTTATGGAAGCTTGAATGCTATTTATAATTGTTTGTCAGCGTTTGTTCAGTTTTTGCATGTGTTCGTGCACCAAGCCGGAAAGACTATTTTACTATACAAAATTTTGGCGCTCTCTTGTTTATCGGCCCTCACCAATCGTCCAGTTTTAAACAGAGGTACGTCACATAAAACATCACAAATGTTGTGACACATATTGTAAAAGCACGAATAAACAACAGAGAAAGCACTCAACACGATTTTCTGTTGTATTCCTTCATGCTTACTGTGCATGTTGGCGCTGTTGGTAGAACGGGCATCTTTATGGGCTAGACCGATTGTATTTGGTTCTTCAGAGCAACATATCTTGCAGCTTTCGCTCTAACTAGGAAAGAATGAAAGAAAATGGCACGTGAACACTATGCATCAAACATTGGCGCAAGAAGTGCGTGTACGAGATGATGTTCTGATGGTTTGGGCCACTCAAAGCAGCCAAGACATCTTTGGTTGCATTCATCATCTATTTACGTCACGTTAAACAAAAGTGGGTCTATGTTAAGCTAGTGAAAAGAGCCAAGACATCTTTGGTTGCTTTGAAGCAATGCTGAATGACGGTGCTCTTGTTTTGCAAGTTGGTTGCATCTACTGAATCTATAAGTGCCTTTTTGAGTCGGTACACTCATAGCTATCCAGAAGCTATGATCACCGCAAACAGTAACCTATAAACACTGTTGGTTGCTTTTTTACACTCTTGTAGTGCACTTCCTGCAAATATTGTTTGTGCTTGTATATTTATCAATATCTTTTATCAGCATTTATCAGCATTTATCAATAGCTCTTGCTAAGAACATGCTCTTTGCATACAGGCACCATGGGAGAAAATTGTTACAATAACTGAGCGGACTCATTTCAGGCTCAACATTTCCGGAAGGCCAGTGCCTTTCAAGCTGTGTGGTCATGATGAAACAAGCAAGGAGCTATTTCCGGTCAGTAGTGCTTTGTACTATTGTGGTTGAAGGACACGCGAAAGCAGCCATTCTTGTCAAACGTTTGTAACTTGGCAGAATATTTTAAGGTAGTAGTCATCTGTGTTGTTAGAGATTCAAGGACGACCTTAGTGTAGTTTTTTTTTGCCATGAAGCAAAGAGCGCGATAGAAATATCAACTGTGGAATACTCACGCACCGCGCCGTTAAGTTTTTAGCATCATCGCTGTCACTAAAAGCATTTAAAGACATGGAGTCCTGTTTACTTTAAGGCTCAAAATTTGCTTTCGTACAGCTGCGTTGCTAGGACGACGAAGCTTGAACTCGAGACAATTCATACTTCTCTTTAAAAACCCATAACAATAGAAACGGGCGGATAAGTGAGTGACGCTCACTGGCACATAATCTGAACTAAAACGGTTCGTGCAACATTACACATAAATATAGAACTCTGGTACACATCACATCGATTACGCCTCGTCTATTGACTAGGTGAGACCATAATATAGAAGCACCTGCTGTATAAATGTAAATTCTTTTTCAAGCATTAAACTGAAAGTTTGCTCACAAATATTTTTTCAAAAAAAAAAGTGCCGCTTCCACCACGGCAGCATGAGGTATTTCTGTCAGAATTATGACGTTGTAAATAAATAGCAGATTGCAAAGCAAAAAACAAGAAGAAAATATTGGTAGATCCCACATACAGTGGGAATTGATGATATGCAAAGCACGAATGAGGAAGGTTCAGTTGTCCTAGTAAAATCAGCACAACATTACGAGGTTGACGTATATTGTGCCACACATGACACGTATATGATTATTATGTTTGCACCAGTCATATACTTTCATACATTCACGTCTGGTAATACCAAATTTTGTTTATGTGAAGCCAGCAATACGACTACAGCCGCATAATCAGCATGGCCTGTAGCCATGTTCCTACATGACATGCATATCATGATTGATATGTTGGCACCAGTGTTATACCTTTGTCATCAATTCACATGATGTAATAACAAATTTGGAATAGCTAAGCGAGCCAAAACGACCGCGAGCACATCAGGAGTATAGCATGCAGTTATAAATCTTACATGACACGCATGCCATGATTATCGTTTTCGATCCAAGTTATATACATTCATCATCTATTTACGTCACGTTAAACAAAAGTTGGTCTATGTTAAGCTAGCGAAAAGAACACGAGCGCTTTATGAGCGTGGCATGTAGTGATGTTCTTACATGACATGTTTGTCGTGATTTCCATGTGACGGCCGGTCACCTATGTTTGCCATGCAGTCAGATTACACCATACTAGGTTTGCGGCACGTCATGTGAACGAAACCACCGCAAGAGCAGCAAGACCATGACATTGTAATCATGACGTAATGACGTACATTTCATGACTTAGATGGTTTGACTGGTCAGTTATGCTCTTGATACAGTGACACTGTGCGATACGATATTTGGTATAGATACCATTATCCGAACAGCTAGGAGAGATAAATATCATAGGCGGCTAGATGGATGGATAGATGGGTGCAATTAAACTTGCCGAAGTTCGCTAAGTAATGCTTCGCATTAAAAAGTTTCGCAGTCTGGCGTCTAACCAGCCAGCTCGCACTCGTCAGCGCACGATTCTGACCTTCACACTAAAAAGCGACCCTTCTGCAACCAGCAAACGGTGAGAAATTTATATACACTATGTATCACTGGTGGTCCTCGAAGCTCGTAAACTACAGTACATTTTAACAATCATTCACGAGGTGGCACAAAGAGCTCGTGATCAGCGCACACGCTCTGCAGGCCGTCGGGCAGCGCCAACTCGCGCGTCGCTGTGTGCGTGCGCCTCGACATGGTGTTGTCAAATTGCGTGTAGATGTTCTCTAGGGAGGTGGTTCACTCACGCGTGCACTTACGTCGAGATCCTGGTACTTTTTAACTCTTTTGCTTCCTCTACAAATTGGCTTTGAAGTTACAGTACTTAAAAAGAGCAAGAACGTCAGTTAGTTCACTGCCACGGCCAAGCTTACAAAATGAGCACGCTGCTCATGCATGAATTAAAAATTGTGAGATTTGTTTGTTTACACTCGTCCTGCGTATGCTCACTTCGTGCGCGCTTTCTGGTTGACGTTCGCACCGCAAATTGGGAGCTGGTTGCAGCCTTTGTTAAATTGCAGATTCTATTACATAAATCATTTCTTCGTCTTTGTGTCGAAACAATGAATGCTCAACTACCTGTGCGAGGACACCTTTCACTATCGTGTCCCACAGAATCTTAAAAAGAGGAATCAAGCACGTTTTAGATGCTTCGCATTTCTTGGCAAACTTTGGTGACTTTGGCCGTATCTGTCTATCTATGTGGCCGACTTTGATTTTCAGCTTTGCTGGCCATTTCAGTAAACGGATCAATATCGAAATATGTATGGGAAAACACCACTGTAAGGCGAGCACAAATGACTAGTCATAACATAAAAATCATGACATGTACGTCATGAAAGTCATAAAATTCATATTATGGTGTTGATTGTCTTCTGGTGATTTCGTTCACATGACATATTGCAAAAGTTGTTAGGTATGACATGACTGTATGGTGAACATAGGTTATAGGCTGTAACCTGGAATTCATGTCATGCATGTCATGTAACTCTTCACTACAAGCCACGCTCCAAATGTGTTCACGGTTGTTTCACTAGCTTCACATGTACCATAGTTGGCATTACGGGACGTGAATATATGACGAAGGTATATGGCATGTACAGACATAATAATCATGACATGCGTGTCATTATTTAACATGACTACCTGCGGCGTTTGTAGCGTGCTTGCAGCCGTTTCGCCAGCTTCAGATATACCAATGTTGCTTTTAGATGACATGATTAGATGACGCAGGTAAATGACACGTCCAAACAATAATTATGACATGCGTGACATTTAAAACATGACTACATGACATGCTCATGATGCACTTGTGGCCATTTCGCAAGTTTAACATATACCAAATTTGGTATTTCATGACACTAAGGGACGAATAAAGCAAATGACACTTCCAATCATGATAATCATTACTGCATGCTACGCTCATAGTGCGCTCGCGGCCGTTTAGCTGGCTCAACATACACCAAATTTGGTACCAATCGATTGAATGGACAAGACGGTATATGACATGTCCAAACAATATTCATGGCATGGAAGTCATGTACGGCGTAATTTACGTCCGCCCTGTAATATCGGGCTGATTTTAGAGTGATATATCAGCCTTCCTTATTCCTTCGTCGCATATCATCGATTGCGACTGTACTTGATGTCTGACAGTTTCAGTTTTATTTAAAGAGGTCCTGCTACACAAGTTAAGTCTGTTGTTTTCAACGCTTTTAAAACATTGAATTTCTCTGATTTAATCGTGCAAACCACGACGCTGCTAACAAAGCTAGTATAAGTGTTTATGAAAAAGCCAGTTTTTGAACTAGAGCGACGAATAACATATATTTGTGAGCTGAAGGGCTGCTTCACCAGTTGGGAGTGACGACATGAGCCATGCGTCTCGATTGGTTCAACGCGACAAGTCGCGCGTAATACCCATATGGTGCGAGATCGGCCACACTTTTGTTCGCTAAAAACTATGAAAACACTCTTTATGCTTCTTCAGATAATAAAAAATGTTTTTGATATGATTATGCGAAAAAATTGTAAAATGACGCAAGGAGCGCTACACAAGAGCCACCACGCGGTGAGTCATCCGGTTCGTCGATGTAGAAGGTGCGGTGATTGGACGTACGTGACTGAGTTATATGCGGAAAACAATTTTTTTCTCAGCTTTTGCTGGGTTTCTCAATTTTGGTGGCTAAAAAAGTTCATTGCCGTCTATGATTTCGAAAATTGTTTCGGCGTTCATCTCTTTACATGAAGCTGCATGAACTACAGTGCTGTAGAATGCTGGTGAAAAAGCGTCACTAGGCCCGTCTAGAGCAGCTCCGACAGAAAAAGCTTTCTTTCGAAAATTCTTATGGGTATTTGTGGCTTTGCCTATGGGAGTGCAAAAATTGAGTAAATAATGTACTAATGTATCATATATTTAATGCTAGCGTTGTTAAGGAGGTAGACTAGTGCAAATGTTGCATGTCACGTTTAGGCTAACACATTAGAAATGACTGCAAGATTATCCAATAAAATTTTCATGCTCACAAAATTGCCACAGTGTACCGAGTGACACACTTTTTGTGCCTAGGTTGCCTATGGTTCCTATGGCCCCCTGTCAATTTATAAAGAGGGTTCACTTATTCAATGCACCTTTTATATGCAACTACCAAAAGTATTTCAGCCGTTTCGTTGTAGACTTAAATGTTACACCTAAACTACAAAAAAATATTACGTTCTTCATGAAGTTTTTCTAGAAAATCAAATTACCTCATGCACAAGGCCACAGCATGTGCGTGTTGATGTGTACTATTTTTACAGCCTCAGTTTTCACAGTATTAGCACTTTTTGGTTTGGATTGTTGCTAATATCCTGGAGCTCAAGCATACAAAGTTTCATAGAAATTATTTTTGAGAAAAGATACATTGCAGTTGAAAATTTATTAAAAAAACGACTTCAGAAAAACGAATTTTCACGTACGCATGCTGCTTACGGCAGGGGGCGCGTGGCGCGCTTAGGCGCGTCATTTAAATCACTTGAAGTGCCTGCTCGACATAGGGCTTCCGAAGGTTTGTTCCTCAGAGCACAATTAATGTTTTGGCGTCAGATTTGTAAATTCAAATTTTGGGTGTTAATCCCATCATACTCTGCCCATTTCGAATGATTTTGCGCAATTTATAAGCACCCGCGCAAATGCCATAAAAAAAAAACTACTGCCCCACAGTGGGGCAACGCCTAAGATTACATGTACTCAAGATTCGGTGAAGCTGGACAAGCAGTTTTCCAGCAAGGAAACGCGCGGGTGGCGACAAATAAAACAATGTTGCTGTTTTGAACGTGTCTCTCCTCAGAAAAATAATGCGCCAT